TAAGGTATTTTTTAGGAGATTATTACATTTGTAAAATGTTTTAATCAAGAACGTGTGCAATTCGATCCTTCTATCTGGGATTATTTGGGTTTTTGCTGTTGAGGGTGACAAACCTAATTTTTGTTTGTTTTGAGTAGTAGTTGAGTGAGGTGGGATTTTTCTTTTGCATGTTGTGGGTCGATTCGTTGTGTTTCTTTGGAATGGAAATTTTGACTTCTGTTTTGTTCTTGTAATAAGGCGGTTGTGTTTTATCATATAAACTTTCTGTTTCTGAATATCTCTCTGCATCTCTGCAGAAAACAAGGAATTATGCATGCAACCCCACTATGTTTTCTTGACCATAACTACCCTGCAAACACTTGGATTAAGTTTCAAAATAATTAAACCTTAATCGGAAAACCAGCCAATTCTTGCCATGTTATGATAGGATAAAATCCTGTATTGTTATGTTGGATTCAAAGGCTTTGTCTGATGTTTTTCTGAATTTTTGGTTATGAAAATTTCCTTATAATTCTACTAATGATGTATTATTTTGGTGAGCATTATCCAAGAAAAGTGATTCTTTAAAAGCTCAAATCAGTTTAGAGTTTTCTGACTTTGGAACCTCATTTTTTATTCATTTTAAACCGTTTCTTGAAGTGCCTTAGACTAATTCTCTTTGGTATTAGCTTCAGCAAAAATGGTGACCACAACAGTCGACCTTCGATCTGACACAGTCACCAAGCCAACAGAATCCATGAGGGCTGCTATGGCAAATGCTGAAGTTGATGATGACGTGTTAGGTTCTGACCCAACTGCCTTCCGCTTAGAAGCAGAGGTGGCAAAGAAGATGGGGAAGGAAGCTGGTCTGTTTGTTCCGTCAGGCACTATGGGTAACCTCATTTGTGTGCTTGTTCATTGTGAAATTAGAGGGAGTGAAGTCATTCTTGGAGACAATTCGCATATCCATATTTATGAGAATGGTGGAATTGCAACATTGGGAGGTGTACACCCAAGGACTGTGAAGAATAATGATGATGGAACGATGGATATCGAGTTGATTGAAGCTTCCATTAGGAATCCTAATTGGGAGCTGCTTTACCCGACCACAAGGCTTATTTGCTTGGAAAACACGCATGCAAAGTAAGAAATTTTTTTCCCTTGAAACTTTTTTGTCTTCTTGGTTGGATGATCATATCATCAGCATCTAAATAATTAGATTTATTTCAGAAATTTTTTTGAATGTTTCCACGGTGTTTCAGCTGTGCTATTTTTTATAAGGATTAGGAAAGTTGTTCCTTGTCTGTATTTTAGGCTTGAAATATGTATCTATGGCCAGCACAATTCGCTCCACCTAGTTTCATGGTTTTGTTCTGCCACAAGTGAACTTTGTTAGCATTATAAAACATTAAATAGTTTGTTGTGGATCTGGATTTGGATTAGAGAAATGTTCATTAATCAGAAGTGCACAAATTATGGTTCATAACTTGCATTCTATGTTGTGGTGGAAGTTAAAATCTATTCTGAATAAAATCCATTCTGAAACAGAGAGTTTGGTTTAATAGAGAAATGTTCCTTTAATCTGAAATGCACAAATTATGATCTATGTTATATTGTGTTGTTCTTTTGTTAGTTACATGACTGGCTGATATTTGTACAATGCTTAAATATTGCGGATTGTCTAATGGCTATATGTTTGGATGATGCATTGTCTATGTATGGTGAATTTCTTTGCAATGAA